TCTGAGCATTTATATCTTCAGAAAACAGATTATATTTTCCTGTTTTCTTCTCCTAAAAAATTGGTGCGTCTTATGGAAAGGTGCGTCTTATGGAGCGAAAAATACGGTATCTTCTGAGCATTTATATCTTCAGAGATATAACAGAGGCTAAACTGAGTTGAAAGAAATACAATTTCTGGTGAGGGGCAGGAACTCAAAAGCTGCTTTTCTTTTGTGTCAAGTCAACTGCTCATATACTTGCTCCTTGCTTCATCCTTGCTCTGTCCTCGTGAGAACAAACAACCCCAAGATCAGGTGTGTGATCAACAGGCTGATTGCTGATCTACTTTTAATAACATTCATTGTTTGTTAGGAAAACACCGATGATCGTCAGCATGTGGTTGGATTTTTATGTGTGTGGTTGCATTCACCAGTTGTCTTGACACTTTCTGTTTGTACACAAGGAGCCTTGTAAACTGTGAATTGTCTTAGAAGCTGATCTCTGGTCAAAGTCCTTGTTTTTTTGTCAACAATTCTCTGTTGCGCGCATCAGAATCTTTGCCATTTATTACATTAAGCTATCTAGATGGATTCCTTTAAGCAGTTTTTTAATAAATTGAATGAAATAAAAACTACAGCAAAGCAGAACGCAACCCACTGCAAATCTGATCACATGGATTTTAAAACTGAGAAGTCCGAATTACAGCTTTGTGTAAAAGGGTAAAGAGAGGCTGACTAGAAAGGTATCTGTGCAGTGTCAGGAAAAAAAAATCAGAGGAGTTACAAGGAAACCTCTTGAAATCTCTTTGGGAAGAGTGCTTTACAAATGGATTGCCATGAAAATGGAGTGCCATGACTGAAAACTTCTTTCCTTGGAAGTTGATGCTTCCTTGCATTCAGTAGATGCTTGGAGTAGGGTCTCTAAGGAAGATCTTAAAGATCAGGTATGTACACATGTGAGAAGTCATTTTTTTTCAGGTAACCTTGTCCAAAATCATTTAGAACATTAAAGACTGAACATAGCTATTTGAATACACCTGGAGTTTAACCATGAATCACAGAAGCTGAGAAAACAGACAAAATGTGGTTAGACCTCCCTTTAAAAATCAATCTTTGCTGTTCCAAACCACCTGAAGTTCTCATATCATATTTAAATATGAACCCATGTACATTGCATTGCAGCAGTCCAAGAAAACTTTATCAGAGTATGTGCAACTGCAGGCAAAATACCTTTGTCCAAGCAAGGTTGCAACTGATGTATCTGTCAGAACTGTTAAAAGGTGATTCGTGCCACAGACTACGCCTCTCACGGCAGTGCTGACTCAACAAGCAACACAGGACTGTGAACCTTGTAGTCTTTAGTGGAATTGGTTGAAAAGCATTCCCAGTGACTAATGAGCAACCAGCCAGTCATATCTCCATTGTGTCTGGAGTGAGTCTCAGTTCATCCTCATCTGCCTCCACTACACTGACTATGCAGTAGTTCAGAACAGTGTTACTTGCACTTGATCAAAATTAAGATTATTATCTGTATATCTGTGACTTCTTAGAATGAATCAGATGGCCAAACATCTTATCCTCAGTATTAGAATCCAATAACTGAAACTCATTCAGCAAAATGGCCAGACAGTAAACCTTTATGGACTTCATTGCTTTTGAAGTTCAAGTCATAATAGATACAGGTAACTTCCTTCCCAAGGAGTTCTTGAGAACATGTCAAAGGGTACTTCTGATGGTTCTACTACATCTCTTCTTGGACCATTTTTTAAAGTGCTGTCCATGACCTGGAAGATCTGCTAGAATGATACTCAGCAGATGCAGTGTCTGAGGATAAAGACTGTTTATTCTCCTTCATTACCACCACAGAGTTGACCCGATTAAGGGCTCTCTCATATATTTTATCAGACAAAAAGCATTTGTCTTCCTCTGAGTTTCAGACACCCTTTCTGTAGCTTCACTGCAATTTCATGAAGGTTTTGAGGGCTTTCATTCCCTTTGCTGTATGATTATAGAATCATTGAATTGTAGAGTTGGAAGGATCTACTGGGGTCATGGTGAGTCAACAAGCAACAAATCCATCTAACAGTAGCACTGTCTAGTCTACATTTTACAAGCTTGCTTCCAGGAATATTGTAGGTGACCTTGTTGAAAGCCTACTGAAATCAAGATACGTGAAGCAATCATCATTATTATCACTGAAATCAAGATACGTGAAGCAATCATTATTATCAGTTTTATTTTAGATGCTGCTTTTCCACACAGCCTACTCAAAGTGGCTTACAATACAAGATCAGTAATACAGAAACAAAAATGTCATTTAAATATGTAACTCTGAGACAATTATATCAGACATTGCTTTAATTATATCCTAACAAAGATGACTAACAGTCAGTTCCCTCTAATGCACCAAGTTCAAGAAATAGCCACCAAGCTGTTCTAGCCTGCAGTAGAGGAACTCTTCCATCCTGCACCTACTCAAGCAGGAGGCGTTTTTTACAGCCCCAACACAGATGGGGTGGTGGTGTCCAGTTTTTCCTTCCACATTCTGGATGATACGGATCCTTTAGGCTAAAGTCCTGTATATTTTGTGCACCTGATTGAGCACTGCTTTCAGTGGGTCAGAAAAAGGTGTTTGTGAGTTCCACCTTTTTACCCCCATATGCCTTGCTCCATCTTCTCCATGCAGGGCATCCACTGCTTCATCATTGTGCTTGCTCTAAACACATCAGCCCATTTTGTTATTTTCAGCCTGTCTTGTAGACTGAGCTTGCTCTGGGATTTAGTCTCCTTACTTTTTTCCTACAAATATTGGCTATTTGTATGTATTATTTCTGAATGATTTCCTCCTCCTTCCATTTTTTATATTTGTCCTTCTGAATTCTCAGTTTATGGAAAAGCCACCCATTTCTTTAGATACTTCTGCTGTTAGAATTGTTTATTTATTTATTGGATTTCTATCTGGCCCATCTAGACCAAAGGTCTAGATGTACATTCATTACTCTTTACAGTTATGCATTCAGTATTTCTTGTATACCCCTTTCTCTTGGGGGTATTTCCAACCATGAGATCTCACCCAGTATAATCTTATTGGAATCAGTGTCCTTAAAACTCAGAGTGTATGTCTGGCTGTGTTCTGGTCTCCCTTGTAAAACTAATTGTGAGAGTACACAATCACTTCCACTCAAAGTTTCTGCTTCTTCCACCTTGTTTACCAGATCTTCTGCGTTAATGACAATCAGGTCCAAGATTGCTGATGCCCTTCTCACCTCTTCTATTTACTGGAAAATGATGGGATAAGTTAGCAGCTTTAATATTTGTTTTCTGAAAAGCTGTTGCCCTACATGGGTGCCTCCCCAAGGCATCTTGCTGGCTGTATTTAGAAAAGGAAAGACAGGGCAGATCTTAGCCTTCATGTGCCACACCCTCTAATGCTGTACGGAGGATGACTTTAAAATGCAGCTAATATTATTCTTCATTGAGAAGGATTGTTGTAATGAAAAAGGGAGAATGACACATTTGAATTACTCCAATGTAGAGACTAGCAGCTAATTATGGAACAGGATTCTCTTGTTAGGGGCATACCATTACGTGATCATATATGCACAACCGCTGCATATGTATTATAATGTTATTAACCTGAAACAGAATGTTTTAAGTTTCCATGATCACGAGTTAGACTTGGACCAATAAATACTATGTTGATTCATCGGCAAAGAATCAGAAAATTCCAATGGTTTAGTAATAGGAACAGCAAAGAGTTTTTAAATTTTGAATTAGGTAGCTGAAATAGAGAAAGCTTAGGATAACTGAGAGTGGACCCTAGCATGAAAGGACAATGAGTTCATTTTGGGTTTTTGCTTTGAAAACAAATGACTAGGAACAGAAAGTGCTTGGCTTCTGCATTTTAATTCTGAGCCTATGTCCTTTCATCTAGTACATGGATATAGCGATTTTATTGTAGTTAAAGCATCTGGGGCAATCCTGGACAATACCCAGTCCAGGCGTAGGCCACTGTCTTGTTCCCATTGTGCAGATAAGTAACTGAGGCAGGTGGGTTACAGTGCATGTCCACATATGGAGCTAAAGTAGAAAATCATACCTTGCTTGTCCCAAGATGTAGGGATACTGTACTGGAACGATGCTAGTTCTCAAATGGCATATGTAGCCATTTGAAGCACATGTATGTGTGTGTATGTGTGCATGGGAGAGAAAAAGAGGACATGACACTGAAATATGTGTTTTGGTAATGTCAGATCCCTATTTCCTGATGCTTTGGACCGAGAAAAAGAAGAAAAACTTAGCAAGGATAATTTGTATTAAACAACGGTCTGTCTCTTTAAATGTAAAAAAAAAATCCTTGCCAAGGCGATGGAGAGAAAATGCTAGAACCGTGCACGATCATGACTAGAAAGCAGGATCCCTGAGTGGTCACAGAGTCTTTCCAGCACAAGACAGAGAGAGAGAGAGCGAGAGACTGGTCTCCTTCAAACCTGCACCTATTTAAAGCAGAAAATGCTTCTTCTCCAGAACAGATAACAAGTCCAAAGGAAAAGCCAGGCTGGAATAAGGGAATGTGGCAGATCCTTGCTTCTATGCTCAAAGGCAGCAGCAGCAGCAGCAACAGCAGCAGCAGCAGCATCTTTACTAGCCATGGAAACCATGTTTTTAAAGGGATTATTTGGGTGCAGTGTTTCAAGCAAGCCCTTCTGAGGACTCTGACTGCTCTGCAGTGCTTTGTGTTTTTGATTCTCTTTTTTGCACATATGTAATTCTGGAGGTTAAAAAAAAATTTTCTGCCAGGGATTCAGAAGGCATCCCACTAGCGATCAGCTGACATTCCTAACTGAAGGCTGCAATGTGTTGCTTATTCATTTTGTACTGGGAGAGCTGCAGGGACTAGCAGAGAGCCAAACTATGCATTTCAAACAGCAGGGCTTGTGCAAAAAGAGGGGTGAAAGAGAGGCAGCCAGCGAAGAAAGAGCACAACTGGACTTTCTCCTTGTTTTTATCCATTTCTGCAGGATCATGTATTCATAAGGGATGAGGTGGGCCACGGGGAGAGCAGGCCTGAGCTGCGGCCTACCCACTCAGTCCAGAATCAGGCCCTCCACTACCGGAACCGAGAACGCTTTGCCACAATCAAATCAGCATCTTTGGTAAGCAGCCACCACACCCCTTGCCCCACTATCCCCCCTTTTTTTCTTCCTTCCTCCCTTGTTCTGATGTGACTGTGTCAGTCTGGGGAAGGGGTCAAGAATTCTCTCCTTTCCCAACGCCCTCCTTTTTTTTTTTTTTTGTTGGCATAGCAACTAGATATTGCAAGAGATGTTTTTGTGTCTTTATAGATTATTTTAAAAATGCATCTTAATATTTAGGATTATTTTTCAGCTTCCTCAAATTTTAACATGGAAGATTGTGGAAGATGGAGCAATTTTAAAT